CCCCGTCTCGGAGCGCCATTCGCTCGCGATCCACCCTCTTCCCACGCGCCACGAGACGGCAGAAAGGGCTTCGCCCTTTGAAGTCAACTTTGTCTAGTGGTTGTAAGACGAGTCGACCCACTGTCAAGATGGAGCACCAAATGGCGAGATATTCTCAGGAAGGGTGGGGGCAGACAGGGAAAGAGCGGATGGTTCGGATTTCTAAGTGTGAGATGACGCAGAATTCTTCAATGATAGATTGTCATGTAGGAAAACGGCACAGCCATTTACCCCAGTAAATCGTATACGGATAATGATGAATCAGAATTGTACCATGGTAAACTGTCACATGTAATGTTAATGTACAGTAAATCATAAACCCAGTAAATCATACATATGGTGATGACTCAGACCTGTATCGCAGTAAACTGTCACAGGGATTTACCATGGTAAACTGTCTCAGGGTTTGACCACGGTAAACTGTCACATATAATATGGAAATATCAGGCAGACTCCCTCCACAGAAACACGTGACAGCAGGATTTCTCAGTGGGAGGTTCCCTTTTCAGGGAAAGGCGGGAGTGGAAAATGGACAAAAAAGACCTTTGAGATTAAAACCGTGCAGAATTGGCACCTTGCGATGAGAAAGAGCTGCAACTGTCAGCACTTTGCTGCTCTGGTCCAATTACTGGTAAAATGAAAGCAGGACAAACCAGTATGTGCAAGCACTGGGATCTGGGGACCAGGGGCACCAATTGGGATGAACACTTAGGGTCACATGACTGTCCCTCCTGAAACGCACACTGTGCATTGAAAAGCACCGACGTTCCGCTTGATGGCCAGTGATTCACGCTGGTATTACCTGTGGTGGGGCGTATCGCGTGGTCAGCCACCATAATGCCGTTTATTTATGCTTACGCTGGTCATAAGTTTCAGGTAATAGCAAGACTCATTTTAATTAAAACCTCAGAATTTCAGTGACAGAAACTTTATTAGACCGAGATTATTAGACCGAGATGAGCAGGAACGTTAGGAATGGGAGATGTTCGCTTGGCTCGTGGGAGTTTCACTTACACAAAAATGTTTTGAGGGCAGAAGGAAAAATGACTGGATAAGCAATCCGATTGTGGAGGAGGTGGGCCCAAGCAACTAGAGAAAGTGGGATTGGTTGGTTCTGCCTCCTGTAGTTACTTGGATCTACCTCCTTTACAATCTGATTGGTTATCTCTCTGAATCAGTCATTTTTCCTTCTGCCCTCTGAACATTTTTGTGTAAGTAAAACTTCCCATGAGCGTTCGTTTGAGTGGCTCGCTTCCTTATGACGTGATTTGCAACTTTTGTCAAGTTCTGACTGGAATGAATCAAGACTGTGCCTCCATTCCTAATGAAGAAGCTTGGTCTTAGTCTTTTTCTACAGAGTTCCTTTAGGTTGGATCTAAATTGGTCCTTAGCTAGTCCCAGTCAGTAGCCTTGTTCACATATTTAAATGGCCTTCGGCGTGGGACTCATTCTCGTCCCTCCTGATTTAGTTGGCTTGGATTATGTCTCCAGCGGGCTGATGGACACGTCGATGAACGGGGAGCAGAAATAAATAAATAAGCACATCTAATTGAAACACAGTTGAGGAATAAAATTAAGATTTATGCCTCCCAAAAAGATGAGATTATTTTCACTCGCATCTGATGTGTGTCATATTAATTGACACTAACTAATTGAAAGACAGATCCCCATCTGCCTTGGGTGCAAAAAAGACGCATAAATATTCTCAACAGCAACAAGGTTGCTCTCATTAATTCCACAACGGGGGGTGATTTTGCTGTCTTTGCCGACGCTGGATAATTACACACACGATGGCAGAGAGCGGGGAGGTGGGGGTGGGGGGGGGCAGCTCAGGCACCGTATCCTGCAGTTTGCTATTGTCCCTCGCCATTACACGTTGCACTTCCTTTGCCCGTCTGCAGGAGGCACTGTGATTTGCTGCATTGCTTGTTCCCCATGGATGCTCACACATAGGCTTGTCTTCCTCTTTCTCGGTGGCCTGAGGGGATAGTTAAGCTAGGATTGAATTGGAGGACAAAAGACAAATGAAAGTGGCAGCAATATTAAGCTATCCTTATAGCCAGGGACCTCGAGCAGGTCCGCTCACCTACAGCCTTCTTCACTATTCCATAATTAACTCATTATTACCTCTGTGTTTTCTAATGGTTTCCTGTTAAGAGGTTTTTAGCCAAATTGCCCCACCCTTCCAAATTATGGTTAGTCCATTTCTTTGTGTGGGTCTGCAGCATAGGGGTCTGGCCTCCAATTAGGGGGCAGGATCTGCAGGTATGGGAGTGTGGTCTCAAGCGAAGGGGCAGGGCCTCTATTCCTTAGAGTGTCTGTGACCGTCGTCTTCCTGTCCTGCCTCCAGAGCTTGTACGAGGTTCTAATGAGAGACAGACTCATTTTTCTAGTACATTCTCTCTCTGTCTGTTTAATAAGCCCAAGCCAGTGTTTTTTACCCCGGGGCAACTTTATTTTGCAGTGAAGCTTCCAAAGAACCCAATAATGGTGGGGGGTGAGGCAGAAAGGAACTATGGGATGATCTGATGTCCAGGGGCCTTTCACCCTCATTCCGCCCCCACCCGTGTGTCAGCAGCCGTTTAGTGACTGTGAGCTCAGCGGTGTGTCAAAGGGGGTGCTGTGCCTAAGAGCTCAGTGTATCAAAAGGGGTGCCATCCCTGTGAGCTCAGCCTGTCAAAGAGGGGCGCCGTGCCTGTGAATTCAGTGTGTCAAAGGGGGCGCCGTGCCTGTGAATTCAGTGTGTCAAAGGGGGCGCCGTGCCTGTGAGCTCAGTATGTCAAAGGGGGTGCCGTGCCTGTGAGCTCAGTGTGTCAAAGGGAGCACCGTGCCTGCAAGCTCAGCGTGTCAAAGGGGTGCCATGCCTGTGAGCTCAGTGTGTCAAAGGGAGCACCGTGCCTGCAAGCTCAGCGTGTCAAAGGGGGCGCCATGCCTGTGAGCTCAGTATGTCAAAGGGGGCACCGTGCCTGTGAGCTCAGTATATAAAAGGGGGCGCCATGCTTGTGAGCTCAGCGGCGTTTTGAACCCGCATCGGTGCTTGGAGGTTTCAACATGATACTGATGTGCTGCCCCCTTGTGGTCAGCCTGTGTACCTGGAACCCCTGAGCTCTCCGCTGACGCTTATCTGGCTGAACCTAGTGGACTGGAGGTTTGGACGTGTTTGTTTTTTTTCCTGAGAGCTGAAAGGAAATCTGCAGCCCCCCCCGCAAACCAGCTACTAATATTCCACTGAGCTAATCGCAAGTGAGGCTGGCCAATCCTGGAAAGCCTTACAAACCAGCTGTTTAAACGCAGGTCTGTGATGAAGCTCTTTACCTTCAGTAGCTAGTCTCACTGGGAGCAATTTACTATACAAACGTTATTTGCAGCTGTTTACTTCTGTGTGGCAGCTTGACTTCTCTCTGACCTACAATCCTACAGCAAACCATTTAATGACGTTTTCAGGTTGTATTGCAAAGCCTCTTTCGTTCAGTAGCTGTTCATTTGTGTGATGTATTTATAATTAGTGCACACACCTTTCGGAAATGATTAGCGGATGTTATTTTTGACTCTAACACTGTGTTGTCAGGTGTAGTGCCTCTGTGTACGTCTTAAAGGTAAACAGAAGAGTTTCTTCGGTCCATCGCTGCTGCTTCTCTGCCTGGTCTGGCCTAGTGAAGCATGGAAACGTTCCAGAGGTTCGAGGCTTTCTCTGTGCGGGGGCTGCATTTCCGAGATGCTTTTCCCCGGCCCTGTGCTGTTAGATCAGGCAGCTGGACCTCCAGAGGCCCAAACACCGCCCACGCCTGGTCCACAGCGAGGCTTTTGGGAACCAGTTTGGCACAGAATTGAGTTTCCTCTCCGCTCTCTGCGGGCAACTCGTTACTTAACAGATGTTGTGTTTCAAATGAGCTAAACAGTTGAAGGGCTCTACATGTCTTTAACATGTGTGTGAGTGTGTGTGTGTATGCAGTTGCTCGTCTGTAGAGAGTTTGATCATTCCCACCAGCGGAGGGGGGGGGTGGGGGGAGCTGTGGGGTGATTTTCACTGCCCCGATGCACAGGCTGATTGCGTTCTCACTGCCCCCGATTCGCAGGTTGATCGTGTTCTCACTGTACCCGATCCACAGATCGATTGTCTTCTCTTTGCCCCTGATCCACAGGCTGATCATTATCTCACTGCCCCTGATCAGCAAATTGTGTTCTCATTGCACC